TCTCTTGAGGCTGATTGACTGGGTCATGTGGGCGGAGCCAAAAGAGTCCCCCAATGAGCAGCTCCGTGGTCTGAAAGGGTGGGGAAGCAGCCCAATGAGCATCACCGCAGAGGAGCCAATCAGCTGGTAGCTGGAAGTTTGCTGGGGTCACGGTGAGCCAATCAGCTGGAAGTTTGCTGGAGCTCCTTTGGCTGTGGCTCTCAACACAAACTTAAATGGAAATGACACTGTCAATTTAATCTTGTTTTTCATATTAATATGATGATTCTCTTTATCAATATTATGGCAAAACCTAATTACACATTGAAATGTGTTACTTTACACTTTAGAGTGATATTCTTCCATCACTTGATTTTTGTATTTATTTATTTATTTTATTCTAACTTGCTATATATGACAGCAGAATGCATTACAATTCATGTAATACATATAGAGAACAATTTTTCATAACTCTGGTTGTACACCATTCTTGTCTTCACACATGTACTTAGGGTTCAATTTAATCTTTTAAAAAATAAAACTATTAAGTTTTAGTAAAAAATACAACTAGTCAAAATTCTACTGATCAATTGTATCTTGTTAGTAACATAGACAGCTGGTATCATGGGATACACATATATCATCTTGATATACAATCACAATAAATTATTATTAAATATGAAGCTATATTTTCAATCACTACATGCAACTCATTTGAATACCCTGTGTTTCTGAAGCGTCACTGGATCCTGAAATTGAAATGAAAGTGAAGAATGAAAAAAGGTCACTCCACATTACTGGGTAATGATACCTGGTTATGTTGGAATCCTTTGCATTCATGCTGAGAAAAAGGATTTGACAAGTTAATTAATTTGTCTTTTCTCTTACCTTAATGTTTCTGCTGCTCGAATTGTCTTCACACTTCACTGAAGTGCATTTTGTAATATAGGCAGCAACACAATGCACAAATGTTCTCAATGTTCAGAAATTCTTTATTTCAAAGACTGATGTGGTGAAGTGTTACCCCAATTTCAAAATGGCATTTCTCACAGATGTGACCATTTAGGGTTATGTTCTCCCAAGCCATCGTGATTACTGTATTCCAAGTGATTCAGTTTTTAAAGTTATTTTTTTTCTTTATGATTTTATATCGTGAATTCTTTAATGCACTGGCCAAGATCAGAAGCCTCTCAACCCTGGAATAAAGAAGATACCCACTGAGATATATATGGCCTACTTGAAAGCAAATCAAAGATATAGCTATTCAGTTTTTAGAAATGAAAACAAAGATTAATAACTATCTCTTAGAAGAATTATAATTGCAGATAAGCTATAGAGGAATGGTAGTAAAAATTTTAAAAATTACCCATGTGCTTAGACATATGTGCATAGGAAGCCTAAGGATCTTATACAACAGGTTAAAAAAAAATACAATCACAATGCCACAATAGTAAATTTTGAAAACCTGAAAGAAAATTTCTCTAAAGTCTGTAAATCCTAAAATTCTAAAAATCACCATCCCCAAATAATAAAATCTTTAATTTTGAAATTTTAAAAGCTGCAGCTTCCATAAAAAGTGATATATTTCAGGGGTAAAAGTCCAGTTCTGGGAATGGGATTGGTCATACAATACAGCAACAATGGAAACATTAGTAAAAAATCTATCCTTTGTCTGAATGGGCACTGTACTTGGGCATAAAAACCTTGAAGCTTACTCAGTAAATGAAAATGTATCCTTTTTTTATATCTGTATTGGTGAAAGATAAAATTCCACAAAATTTCAGCTCTTTGAGTGAATGCATGTGTAGAGATGATATATTGAAGCTTTTAATTGGTCTTTTCAAAGTCTTACTTTGAAAGCACTGGGTTTCAGATATTCATAATTATAAGGTTAGATTCACCCAATTATTAAGCATAATGATTTGATTTTATATATGTTGCTTCATGATCTACTTATTCATAAATATGTCTCATTTGCTCATAAATATTATACCCTTGTGCCTGTCAGGAAAGTACCTGAGTGTTTATGTTTTATGCTTATAAAATGTGTTTTTATTGCCTACTTTATTATATAAAGGGGACTATAGTCTACACAGTTACGTTTCTCAAATCAATTGCCTTTTAAAAATGTACGTAAACATTTTAAAAATAAATTTTAGCACTTCATGAGCAAGATGGTTGATTGATGGTGTCTGGAATGCTTTTCTCCACAACAAGGCTCCAAAACAAGTCAAAATAAAAAAACAAAATGTGACTGCATTGTTTGAGGGAGAGTGTCAGTATGGTGGGGATGTAGTAAAGACATTGTAGAACATAGATATGCACACAGAATTTATAAAAAAGGAAACCAAACACACAATATCCACCTTCTGAACTCTCAAAAAAAACCTTGAATGATGATGGAATTGGCTTGGATGAAAAGGAGTAAGCCAAAGTCCTCTGGTAATCCTCACTCATGCCACTGAAACCTGAGGAATTTACTGCTGGATAAACATGTAGCACTCCCAAACTGTAAATCCAGTCCTGTATTTTTGAACAACCGCCTCACTGCATTTCCCTTACAAAGAGGTTAGTGCATGTTGGCCTCTCCACTATCCAGGTGTTTTTTACACTGAGGCATCTTGAGAAGCTGCCATTCTGGGTTCTATGAAGCAGCTGGGTAGCTACCTCACCCATCTCCACCATCTCTGTAAACCACCCAAATGTACTCTGCTTAAACACCAACTACTCAAGAATCAACTAGATGGCTGGCCCAAAGAATCTCAGACAGTGGAGGTCACCAATAAATGATTGGATAGCCCTTCCTATTCTCCCACTGCCCTGTTGTAACCAGGAAGCCCCATTCATACACCATCAGCCCCGGGACATTGCCAGAAAATCTCTGAGCCTTCAAGTCCTCTGGAAGCAGTAGGTTAACTCTCTACACCTACCATGAGTATTTTGACCTAAAACTCCTGGGAAACATCTAGGTCGCCCCATTTACCAACTCTCAGCCCTAGAATATAGGCAGGGAGCCAGCCCTAAATAGTTCAGACCACAGAAGCCCATGGAAGCAGACAAGCAGCCCTTTTTAACTACCTATAATGGCAAAGCAAACTTTCCTAAGTAATATGGCATTTCAAGCACTCCAGAAAGCTACCAGACAGTTTCATCCATCCTTCTATGGTCCCACAAAACACATAAGCAGTCTATTGACAAAAGCTCAGTCTTTGAGACCCTAAGAGGTAGTTCTTTAGTCCAGCCACTCTGTGTCCCAGAAAGAAACTGGGCAAAACTATTGAGGTTCAGCACTGCAAAGCCCCACAGTTACTTGAGCTGCACTCAGACACTGAGGTATGTTATATCTAGTCAGTGAGGTGTATTATATCTAGTCTGATGGTGTAGCCCAGCCCCTGTGTGATCCTCAGACATGGAGGGCATCTCAGCTTTTTACCTGACATGCCTTGTTGCACCATCCTGACAACCTAGAACACATTCACAGCAAAAAGATATTCATTATAAAGGTCACTTTAAAACATAATAAAAGCAATTATTTGACCAGATTCAAAAATACCAACATATGGGTATAAGAAGCATGAAAATTTTAAAAAAGGTAATGTGACACCTTGAAGAGAATATAATAATATAATATAATAACTGTGTAGCAAAAACAAAGAAAAAAAGAAACTGACAAATAATTGTAAAAGAATGATTTAATAAAATATATTTGAATATAGACATTTTTTAAGAGAGAGAGAGAGAATTTTAAAATATTTATTTATTTATTTATTTTAGTTTTCGGTGAACACATCTTTATTTTATTTTTCTGTGGTGCTGATAATTGAAACCAGCGCCCCACCCATGCCAGGCGAACATGCTACCGCTTGAGCCACATCCCCAGCCTAAGACAATTTAATGAAGTTATGAAGACATATTATGATATGAATAAAAAAGTCAGAACAGAGACAAAGATTATAAAGAAGGTCCAATAAAAGATATCTTGAAGTTGAATAATTTAACAAGTAAATTTACAAAGGCAGTAAATGACTCTGAACAGAAAAGTTGTTCAGGAAGAAGAAAGACTTTATGAGCTATAAGTTAGGTCTTTTGAAATAACCCAGCAGGTTATTTCAAATTATATATATAAATGACAAAAGAGTTAGAGACTGATGGGATGCTATTAAGTAAGCAACCATTCATATTATATTATAGTGTTCCAAAATGAGAAAAGAAGAAAAAATAAATAGAAAAACCATTTAACAAAATAATTGTTAAAAATTTTCCAACTCTTGGGAAAGTCATGGACATTAAGGTACAGAAAGTTCAAAGAACTTTAAAGATTTCACTAAAAAATTATCTCCAAAATATGTTACTGATATGATATTAAAACTGTAAGACAAATGGAATTAAAAAACAATAAAAGAATAATATCAGGTGTTTGTAATGGAATACTCATTACACTAACAATAGACTTCTCTGCAGAAAATTTGCAAGCAAGGACACAATGAGATGGTATGTTCAAAATACTGATATAAAACAAAAACAAAAATTTCCAACCAAGAGTACTATTCTTAGCAAAGCTATCCTTCAGGAATGAAAGACAAATTTTCCATGACAAACAAAAACTGAAGTAATTCATCATCAGAAGACTATAAGAAATAGCTAAAGGAGTTGTATACTATAAGTAAAAAGATGATAACTACCATAAGAAAATAAATTAAAGTATAAAACTTGACAATAAAAAAAGAAGAGAGAGAGAGAGAAGGGGAAGCAAATGAAATTATCAATACAGAAAACTACCAGCCTAAAAGTTAAAAAATAAAGAAAAGAACAATGGATATACAGAACAATTAGAAAAAATTACAGAGTGTTAATAGTATGACTTAACCATTAACAAGAAGAAACAACAATTGCAATTATATATGCACCAAGTGTCTGAGCATGGGCAAACATTTATACAAAACAAAGATTTTACAAAGATTATTATATATAAAAGGATACAATATGAATGGGTTCTGCATCAATAGATTCAACCAACTGTAAATTAAGAAAATTTGGGGGCTGGGGATGTGGCTCAATCGGTATCGAGCTAGCCTGGCATGAGTGCGGCCCTGGTTCGATCCTCAGCACCACATACAAACAAAGATGTTGTGTCTGCTGAAAACTAAAAAATAAACATTAAAAATTCTCTCTCTCTCTCTCTCTCTCTCTCTCTCTCTCTCTCTCTTAAAAAAAAGAAAATTTGTGAAAGAGCTGGGGTTGTAGTTCAGCAGTAGCACATGACAGGTGATGGGTTATATCCTCAGCACCAAATAAAAATAAAATAAAGGTATTGTATCCAACTACAGCTAAAACAAAACATTTAAAAAAAAGAATATTTGGGGAAAGTCCCATGTGTACTGAACAGATATAGATCACTATTTCATGTTATTTTCCCCTAAACAATATTGTGTAATAATCATATGTAGAATCTATATTGCATTAACTATTGTAAGTAATATAGAGATGATTATAAGTATGGGAGTAAATGTATAATTCATATGGAAATACTCTGCTATTTCATATAAAAGACTTGAGATTCATGGATTTTTTTTTAAAGTCCATATTAGTTTCTGAAACCATTCTTTCACAGATATTGAGTGATAATTACATAAATATTCATACATATGGCTATGTATATATGTGTATATATGTGTATTTAATTGTGTCATTAGATCTATAACATATTGAAATATAATATATTTGACAATAACTGCAAATGTTTACAGGTGGAATAAATTTGAAAAGAACTAACATTGGCAAAAAGTTTACAGGTGGAATAAATTTGAAAAAAAAACTAACATTGATTGGTAAATCAAATTCATATGAACAATGAGGAAGACCAAAAATTATAAACAAAAATGTAAAGAATAAAAATCCATAATTATAAAATGGTGAGATAGATTTTAATATGCCTAACAGATATTTACAGAATTTCATCTAAGAGCATAAGGGTATATATTATTTTTCTGGACTCAGGGGATATTCTCCTTTGAATAGACTCTAAGGTAACTCATAAAGCAAATCTATATAATTAAAAATAAAATTTAAGTCATAGTATGCACTTTTCCTGGTTGCAACAGAGTAAAATGAGAAATCAGCAATAGAGAACATTTTAAATTGGTACAAATATATGGAAATATAAATTAAACTATAGTCTCTTGGAATAACCAATAGG